ATGAGACCTTGTTCAGGTTAGAGGCGCATGGCGCCGCCAGGATACACAGCACCAGGGATCGACGCTGTCATCTCTGCTGACCGTGCTGTCTGGCAGCAGGTTGCGACTCAGGTGCCCTGTCTGCCTGCCGTTGACGTGGTTGCCACTGTTGACTCTGCCCTGTCTGCCGCTGCTGCCTCGCCCTCAGTTGCCTTTCACGTTCTGCCTCGTGAGCGCAAGCGTCTCTTGGACGACACCCCCAAGCCACCACTGAAGCAGCCTCACAAGGGCGACGGCAAAGGAGGCAAGGACGGCAAAGGCGGAAAGACCGGGAAGGGAAAAGACAAGTTCGGCAGGCCTAGCACTGGCAAGGACAAGACAGGCTCCCCGTCTAAACAGACTGCCGTTCCTGCCGCCCTCAAGGGCCTTGACCCTAACCGGGACGGAACCCCCCTCTGTTTTGACTGCAACCTCGCTCACGGTTGCAAACGTGAGACGTGGGACACCGCCAAGGGGAAGCAGTGCGAGCGCGGCTTGCATCTCTGCATGCGCTGCGGCTCTGCCGATCATGGTGCCCATGCCTGCACTAACTGACCTGCCGTGCCTGCTTCAGGCGAGCCTCGGATGATCCCAGCTTCTGAGCATCCCTGCCAGGATGCCGATGCACATCATGACTCTGCGGTTTTGCCTGGAGTCGTTCAGACAGCCACAGTTTTCCCTTTTAAGGTGACGCCAGTACCTGTGGAAGGTTCAGGTGAGTCTGTTCTTTCTCCTTCACTGACTGAGGCCAGCGCCGCGTCTGCCTCAGTCTGCTAAGCACACTGTTTTGGTACCTCAGTTTTCCGGCGCTGCTCTCTGCACTTTTCCAGAGAGCAAACCAGCTGCAGCAACTGCCAAACCTGCCGCTCTGCGCGACGCCAACAGGCCCGCTGACCGAGGAGGCAGGGTTACACTTGAAGTTTTCTCTGGTTGCTGCAGGTTGAGCAAGTGCCTCAGACAACAGGGCTTCGACACTCTTGCTGTTGACGTGAAAGAAGCTCAGGGGCACCCGGTCCTTAAGCTGGACCTCTTGTCACGCTCTGGCGTTTCTGTGCTTTGGGACATCCTTCAGTCAGGTCAGGTCGCCTATGTTCATCTGGCGCCGCCCTGCAGTACCAGCAGCGCTGCTCGCAACATACCTGGAGGGCCGCCACCGCTCCGGTCTGCTGCATACCCTGACGGCCTGCCAGGTTTGGGTTTTCGGCATAGGTGCCAGGTGAGCAACGCAAACAAGCTTTACAGTCTGACTGCCGCTGTTTGCCGTTTCTGTCAGGAGTCGGGAATCGGCTGGACGCTGGAAAACCCAGCCAGCAGCCTGTTTTGGGCCACGAGCCCTGTGGCACAGCTCAGTCGGGACCTGTCTGCCTGCCTGCGCACGTCTGTTTTCGACTCCTGCTGTTGGGGCGGCAACAGAAAGAAAAGGACGGCTCTGTGGAGCTCCTTGAGCTGTGTGCAGCAGCTGTCGCAACTGTGCCACCCTGGCCTAGGGCACACCCACTCTGCGTGGGGCAGGCTACCGGACGGCTCTTGGAGCACTTCTGCAGAAGCGGCATACCCGATGCCTCTCTGCCGTTTCTGGGCCGCCATGATAGGCAAGGAATACAGCTCGAGACTGCCCTGTGCTGAGGATGACTCTGCTGTGAACTGGACTCCGGCGACTGGGCTGTACCGTGCACCTGCCAACCTGGGGCTTTTTGCCAGAGGCCGCAGCCCTGCTGAGGTGGCAAACCCTTTTTCTGAGCGTCTCAAGATTAGGGTGCCTCTCATTACGCCTGCCACTCTGTTAGTGCCAGGCTCAGCTGCAGTTCTGCCAGGGGCTCCAAAGGGGTGCAAGGTCTTGTCTGTTGACCAGGAACCTGAGGCATGGCTGCTGAACATAGGCGTGCCCTGTGCACCGGAGGCTTTTCTGTCCCACGCTGCGGCTGTGGCTCACCCCTCTGAGGTGCAGCCGCAGCTACCAGTGGACCTGGAGTTTACTGTGCACTGTCTTGAGACCTGCGCGACAGCTGACATAGCCAGTAAGCGTTGCCAGTTTCTGCACAGTGTACTGCAGCGCGCTTCTGAGCTGGCACCCCAGGAGCTTGCTTTGCACTCCAGGCTTGCGCCACACTGTCAACGTGTCCTTGCGGGCAAACGGCTGTTGCTGCTGAAAGAGCTCCTAAACGGGCTGGGTCACGAGGATGTCTCTCTGGTTGACGACATCAGCTCGGGTTTCAGACTGACGGGCTGGCTGCCGCCCAGCAATGTCATGGAACCGAAAATTACTGCCCCCAGTGAATCAGCTGCCGACTTGTGGCGTCGCAGAAAGGACATCAACTCGTCCATCTGGCGCCAGACTCAGCCCGGCAAGGACCCTGAGGTTGATTCGGCACTTTGGCAAGCCACGCTGGACGACGCCGAGGCAGGTTGGGCGCTGCTTCTGCCTCAGTCTGACTGCCCGCCTGACGAAATTCTTCTGAGTAGGCGGTTCCCTGTTGTCCAGGCTTCAGGGATCAGGGCCATTGATGACTTCAGTTTCAATGGCCTCAACAGTACGCTTGGCACCTGTGAGAAAGTGCTGACGATGTCCACAGTGCACACAGTCTCGCTTGCTTTGCGCCTTCTGCGAAGTGCTGTAACCCGCGGTTTGAAGCTTTTAGGCAGGTGCTTCGACTTGAAGAAAGCCTACCGCCAACTGCCCATCCATCTGGATGACCTTCCGTATGCTGCCGTCTCTGTCTGGTCGACTGACGACTCTTGCCCCAGGGTTTTGCAGATGTTCAGTTTGCCTTTCGGAGCTTCAGGCAGCGTACCAGGGTTTGTGAGAGTTGCGGTTGCTCTCTGGCGCATTCTGTGCCGCCTGGCCCTTGTGCCGAGCACGCTTTTCTTCGATGATTTCACCAGCATCACCTATGCTTCTGACGCTTCGAGTGCTGAAGCTACTGTTCACCTGCTGTTCAGGATTCTTGGGTGGCGACTAGCCCTGACAGGAGACAAGGCTCAGTCCTACTCTGCCATCTTTCAGAGTCTCGGCGTAATTTTCTGTCTGCACCCTGGGGTGGACAGTGCAGTCACTGTGACCAACACTGAGTCTCGACGGATGGAGGTGTCTGCTTGGTATCTGACTAAGCTTCGTGAGGACAGTGCCACTCCTAAGGAATGCGAGCAGTTCGCCTCTCGCATTCGCTGGCTTGCAGGGCAAGTGTTTGGCCGCTCGTCAGCTGCAGCTCTGAGGACTCTTCTGCGTGCAGGCAGGGAGTCCCGGCCCTACTCTCCCAGACCGCTGTCGGCAGAGTTGCGGGCTGCCATTCGTTGGCTCCTTGGCAGCATTCCCAAGGCTTCGCCCAGGCTCTGGTCTCTCGAAACGAAACGCAAGCTACACCTGTTCACAGACGGTGCCTTTGAGGGAGGCAAGGCCTCCATAGGCGCAGTTCTTTGTGACTCTCGCTGTGCACCACTTGCGTGGTTCGTGCCTGCCTCTGTCACCTCTGACTGGCTCTCCGATGGCACTGAGCATCCCATCATTCAGGCAGAGCTGGCCGCAGTTGTGGCTGCATTCCATGTCTGGAAGCAGGTTTTGTGCGGAGCCAATGTGCTCCTGTGGATCGACAATGAGGTGGTGCGTTTTGGCATCATCAATGCCCACATGCACCCGCCCTCTGCGATGGCACTGCTGTCTCCTCTGCTGGCTCTGGAGGAAAGCACGAAGGTGTCTTTGTGGGTTTGCCGAGTGCCCTCGCACAGCAACCCGTCTGACGG